AGGATCAGGGTGTTTTATCACAGAATTGGAGCTGTACTTTGCTGTTATCACTCCTTTTTCTTTCTCTCAAATACAGTTTAAAACATGTGGGCTTGCACCATGAAGTTTATTTCCCCCATTTTTCTCCAATTTATTTTTGGAGATAAACCCGATTATTTACAAATTACAGCTACCTGCTGAGATGAAACTATTGATGTTGTTAGATTTCATAATGTTAATTTTTAATTACATGGGAAATTAAAATAAAAAGCTCARCTTGCAAATCCATCTCTTCAGCCACCTGTTGAACTGTTTGATAACAGCATGGGTGAATTTATATCAGTAACATGTAAATAATGAAGGTATTTTTAATGATTTGCAGTAAATTATCCAGAACATGATAAAACCATAAAAAYAATCAGTATTCACCCACCAGCTGTACCCAGGCTCTAAAACCATTAYAGAGATTAAAAAGCCAAGCATTCCAAAAGTCTTTCCAATCTTCATTCCTCTCCTCTCTGGGAGCAGTATTAATTTGAATTAATTTATCCTCTCTCCCCCAGTGAGAGCCGGAGGTGGTGGTGGCTGACCAGGAGCTCTGGAATGTCTGGAATATCTTCATTTATCCCACTTTTCCCTGGATTGCTCCAGGCCTTGGAGCAAACAACTCAAACTTTGAGTTGTTGATGGGATAATTAAACCTGCAGGGAAAGAAGTTCCAAACCAATCTTTCCAAAATCCATCTGTTGGGATTATTCCCATTTTCCTTTTTGCTCAGGGGAGCTGGGCTGGGTCTRAACCCAAATCCTCTGCCCCTGGAGTTCATTCTGTGCTCACACCTTTGTGTGTGTTCCTTACTGATTTCAGTTTTCACCCTGGGGATGTGGAGAGGCCCTGGCAGCTGCTGGAATTCATGAAATTGTGGCCAACACAGGAATTTCCTTTCATTGGCCTACCAGGATTTTCTCTTATTGATTTGTGATTCCTTCCTCATTTAATTGAAGAAATCCCCGACAGTTTTCATGGTTCCATGAGCAATTATTTTTGTGTATTAATTGTAGCAATTGTTTGAGTGGTGCTGAGTTTTTAGAATTCAAATTTTAATGTGAATTTGGGGCTGTTAACAGGAAAGGAATCCTTTGAGGAGCCAAACTCTGGGTGGTCAGAGCTTTTTCAACACTTAAAGGGTTAAAGAGGTGATTTGTAGCTCGTGGCAGCGCTGCCACTAAATCTAACCTGGAATCATTAAATTGCTGTTAAGGTCTCTTTCTGTTTAAGCCTCTATTTGCTTTTCTTATCAACACGAGGATTGTGAATGGGGAGAAATCTCCCTTTGAAGAAAACAATTCCTGTGGGATCGCAGCGAGGAACTGCAGGGTTTGTTTGACTTGGTGTTTAATTCCAGCTGCAGAAAAAAGCCAGAGCAGCACTTTGGGAGCCTCTTCTGCTTCCTCTCARCCTGGCTTGGGGATTTGTGCCATCAGAAATCCCATCCTGAATTTGACCCCAAATCCTGGGGTGATCCAGTGAAAACTTCTGAGAAATTTCTGCCACCCCACCAAATTTGAACAGCTCGGCACCACGGGATTTACCAATAATGCAGCCTCTAAAACTCCCACTTAATCCTGCCAGCAGAATTTAATTCCCAATTAAGCTTTAATAATACTTTTCTAATTTTAATCTGCGCAGGTTTTGCTGCTCGTTAGGCTGGAGGTGCAGAAGGATTTTTCAAGGGAAAAAAAAATGAAATCATAAGAAAGTTTGGTGTGGAAACTGCAAGGCGGTGAGAAAGCAYTATCACAAAATCTTTGCTTCCTGTAGTCATCAGTTATCTCAGGGTTTTATCAAACGGACACTCCACCCTTTTATTATGGTCATGGSAGTCCAAATTTCATGTGTTAAAAAAGGCATTTCAAAAGAAACCTTTACAGTGGATTTTGGTTGACTCACGGTGCCAGAATCACCAAACTTTCCAATAAGTTCTGCCCACAAGTTTGTAATTGGCTCTGAATTTTTGTGGGGAAGGATTTCAATAACTTCAAGTGTTAAATTTTTAATAAATGCTTCAATTGATTCCCATCTGCGTATTAGAAAGTCTGTGGGAAAACTGGGTTTGTATTTAGGATTTTGTTTCTGTCTTGATTTATTTTTTTTTTAATTGTTTAATTGAGAACTTGAATCTCTCCCTACAAACACAGCAAATGTTAACCCAAGTGGAAAAGTTGATGTATTTCATATAAATGTTCACATAAGTTATRTTATTTTTCATTATTTAATTGGATTTTAAAGAAAAAAATGAAGATTTGAAGTTAAGTAGAGTAAGAGAAATGCTGGTGGGAGGAAAATTACGGATTCCATTTGGATCTGGCGTTTGGGGAACATTTCTTCAGAACAAGAAAACCAAGCAGAAATAAAGTGGTTTAACAAGCAAAAGCTGTTTCCTTACCCAGAGCTTTCTTGGGAAGGAGCTGGAATATTTAGCAATATTTTCAGCTGTCAGGGAGCTGCTCTCTTGGCCACATTACAGAGAAATGGAAGAGCTGTAATGTGGAGTCACTGAGTTCTCGTGGTTCATGAAATTAATAAATCTGCTGAGCACTAAGTCATTCCTTATCGTCCTTCCCTATCGAAATTCATCCAGATTCCAACTGCACTAATTGAATCCAACCCCAGGAGATAACACTGGGGCTGCCATGGGACTTGTTAACATTTATTCATAATGGGGAATTTTTCTATTAACAAAAGCCATTTTCTTTTTGTTGTTTTTCTTTTAAAATCAACCTCCCCTCTTTTAAAACCTCATCCCCAAGCCCCAGTTGTGCAATGTACCTGCTCCACCTGGCAGGGTGGATGGAGAAGAAAATGAAATTTYGTTTTAGTCACAGCATCTGTTTTCCTAAAGGGTGGGGAGGCCCTGGCACAGATGGAAATTGTGGCTTTCCCATCCCTGGGAGTGTCCAAGGCCAGGTTGGAGCAACCTGGGATAGTGGGAGGTGTGGGGTGGAATTAAATCGTATTTTAAATWGTACTTAARGTCCCTTCCCACCCAGATTTTTATTCTGGAAATGTAACARCATCAATACTTCCAGCAGGAACCTGTAATATGTAAATAATTTGGTTTCTCTTYAGTGCCCCGATAAATGGGAGAATAAACTTCATGCTGCAAACCCACACATTTTAAAATGCTTTAAAAATGCCTTTCCTTTGTCCACTCCTGAGTTTCCCCAGAGCACGCCGAGAAATTCGCAGCTTTTTGTTTTTTTTTTAATGCTGAGGAGGGAAAAACTTGATCCGAGTTAACTCCCGATTTCCTGTCGGGATGACAGCAAGGTCCTACAATTGAAAGAACCTTTATTCCCTGCTCCAAAGGCAGAGCTGGGAGGCGCTGGGGACASCAGTCCTGCTCTGCTTACACTTGATCTCAGCAGATTGCAAGTGGCAGTTGTTGATGGGCTGCAATAAGCCCGGCCTGGGGCCGCTGTCTCCTGAAAGCTCTCGGAGCTCCCCGTGCTGATGGATGGGAGCAATAAGCAGCAATCACTCCTCGTGTTTTTGGCATGCATCTCCAGCAGTGTTTGCTCAAATTAATGATCCACGCTCGGCTCCCCCAGCCCCTCGTTTCCATCCGTGGTGCTTTAGGTGGGTACAGCCTGARAAAAACCCAAACCTTTAACAAAAAAACCCCACAAAGCCACCCCCTCCTCCCTGGGTGCCTTTCGGAGGTTCTTGAAAGGAAACCAACACCTGTTGAAATCGTTGCTTCAATGTTTGGCCCAAATCCCAAACAAGGCGCTTTTTTTTTAACAACAAAAACATATGCAGGGGCCAGGGAAAAAGCACAGCGAGTTCGGGTATTGTGCTTTTTGTGCTCTGCAGCTCCGAGCTGGAGGGGCTGTGACTCACTGAGCGATGCCAGCACGGGGTTTCTCTCGTTTGTGGGCTCATCCCTGA